TTTTTAGAAAATCAAAAATTATGTACATGTGAACCCGTAAGTTCTCATCTTTGAAAATAAAAATTAGTGATTTTTTTTTTTTAGAAAAGTGGGTCCGATAATAACGGTCAGAATATTATTAAGGTTACAAATATTTTATTTTTTATTTTATTAAATTTTTTTCACTTAATTTAAGAATATATATATATCTTTTTAATTTTATCTTCATTATTTTCGTCTTAAGTGAATCTTTATAAGAGGCAAACCAGAAATTAGTGGTCTTTTATATGGAAAAGTATATATGGGTCTACTAAACCAATAAAAAATATAAAATAAAAAGTATATATGGCTGGCAGAAATAAATTTGATCATGCTTATCGCTGTTCCACACAAATTAAATTTATTTATTTGTCTTGGAAAAACATATATTCATGAACTCTCTAAATTTTGAGACATTGCACTGATCTTCAGAATTTTTTAGATGGAGGGTTGACTTCACGTCAACGACATTATAATTGTTTTACCTTTTACTGTACTTTTCTATAGTTAATTTTCATTTTTCTTTTGATCTTGATATATAAAATCATTTTAAAGCAGATCTACATGAGCTACAGCTACTGCATACTCAGAGAACATCTCAAAACCAGATCAAGAGTAAGCAATCAACAACACAAGCTTAGTTACAAACTCTGTAAGTATTTCTTCTTTTCTTTTCTTTTTATTTTGGATGATTTTGCACTGTTGGTTTTAAGTGTACAACTTATGATATGAGCTTGCATTCTTCTCCAGATATTGCATCATGTTGGTGAAATCCACACTCTGCTACCAAAAGTAGAGATTTACATTTATTATTTCCAAGCAATCAGTCGAATTTGCTATCTGATATTGAAGAAGTTATATATCTCACTTCTCAACTTGGTATGTAAGACCTTCCCTTAATTTCTTCCTAAATTGCTTTCTTTTTTTTCTTTTTTTCTTTTTTTATTTTCTAACATCAGGTACTAGGTTGTTGACATTTTTTCTTTTTTCAAATTCCCTTTTAAACATATTAAATATTCAAACTTAAAACCTTCAAACTAAAAATATAAAATTTAATTTTAACTAATTAATTCTCCTTGAGGCACTTAACCTTGTTCGCTGATTAGCTGGTAGTTAGTTTTAAAAGGGCATTTTCATCAATATAATGCTGGTTCAGATTCTCCATCCCTTAAAATCTGTACTTATAGGCAAGTTTAGTTACTATTTTTTTTTTTTTTTAATTTAAGTTGCATAAGAGAAGAATATTCTCCGGGTCTCTCCTATCCCTTAACTCTCCTCTCTCATATATTATGTCATTTAAACTTAAAACCTTTTATTTACATGATTTATCATTAAGCTACTAGCTAATGTTTTTTATGTATATATACTGTAGTAAATAAATACTCCGTCATTATTGCGAGACAATATATAGCTCTCTAGATGTGACATCTCAAATCTGAATTTTAGCTTGAAAATAGGTTTGAATGTAAATTAGAAGTTCTTGTACTTTTAAGTAGTAAATGTCTCAATTTCAGTTTAGCAAAATACTTCAGATTTTGCTTATGGTTGCTGTCATCTCATACTGTTTTGAAATAAATTTACACCTGAACTTGTTTTCAGAAAGAATTTAAAACTAATGAACACTTCCAAGTTAAAAGTTTGCGAGGGTAAGTACTGCAGTTCAAGAACTAGCGAGCTAAAAATCTTAATAGCTCTACAATTTAAAATTTTAGAACTAATAACTCAAGTAAAAGCAAAGGCATTTGGCTTTGACAATCTCTAAAATCTGTCTACGAAAGTTCAAGACACTCCATTACACACAAGTTCAAGAGTCTTTGAAGCTCATAAGTTGCCAAAATGTTCCTTTATAGCAACTTTAACCGTTTACAATAATCATTGATATCATATACATCACAGGTTCATGACACAAAATCAGTGAGCTAGGACTAGCTTTTGGGATTAGTTTAAATTTGTTTTACCAGGGTTAGCTCTAGGCTTTCACTTGGACTAGTAGATACTTCCTAGGCTCCTAAAAATATGTATGCTGCTTCTAGTTGCTTTTACCTGTAACAATGCAAAGCTCAGGAAGAATTTCAATAAATTAATTTGGGTAAACTAGTGCTACATATACCAACAATACTTTGAACTTAATGTAGAAAAGTAGCATTTCTGCCCCAAGGGTGCAGAATCAGTTCCATCAATGCTTGCTAGCACTAAACATTTAATTAAGTTAGGGATTCATTCACCCTCAATAAAATTACAAATATATCAAGTTTCACATAAGTAATAAGCAAAGTAAATTTTAGCATGAATTTATCTATATGTCCATGAACAAATCTATATGGAGCTCATTCTGTGAGTGTACATCTCACTAAGTCTATGGACCAGCGTAGACATCCTTCTGCACAAAGGTCTAACAACTCACATCAACCTAGTTAACTTTAGGAGCCCTTTCCCTAGTCATTAGCATCGGTCTTACCATAGATTCGATTCAAATAAAGCATGTTTTATGATACTTACTCAATACATGAATCGATTCTCCTTCATAAAGAGCTTACATAAACATATAGATAAGCAAGATTAAATAGCACACAAGACAACTAGAAGGGACAAACTTCAGGTAATTTTCACATTGCATGTAAATCAATGGAACTCATAGATTAAATAATTGTGAGTGTAAATATGAGGGAAACTGTAGCATGAATTTATGTTTCTATCTATCCATGAACAAATCTCTGGAACTCATTCTGTGAGTGTAAATCTCACTAAGTCTATGAGCCACCGTGGACATCCTTCTGTGCAAAGGTCTAACAACCCAAATCAACCTAGTTAACTTTAGGAGCCTTTTCTCTGGGCATTAGCATAGGTCTCTACTATAGACTCAATTCAAATGCAGCATGTTTTTATGATGCTTACTCAATACACGAATCAATTCTCCTTCATAAATAGCTTACATAAACATATATATAAGCAAGATTAAATAACTATATAACTAACATAGTTTTTCATTTCATTTGCTCACAGATTTTCAAGCCAAAAATCATCAATGGCAAAGTTTTAGCATACAAGCAAGAAGGAACAAACTCTAGGTAATTTTTATTTTGCATGTACTTAAATTCCTTTATATGCATCTTATTTGCGTTGTTCTAGTTCCGACTTACTATTTGAATTCATCAAATTCTAATTCCAGCAACTTAACCTTCAGGTTCCATTAGACTGAGTTAAATAAAGCTCAAACTTATCTTGCATGGTCCTAACCTTGAAAAAGTTCCTCCTAGAGCCACTAACACTACCGTTGCTGGGCTGTTGAACTCTCCCCCTTCCCTTTCTTCTTCTCGTTTGGCCAAAAATTTAAGGAGGAAATTGTGTTCAGCTCAAGTCTTGGCCTTGTATATATCAACAATGTTAGTGGAGTTTTAATGAGATCCACTAACTGATTCTTCTTTTCTTTTTGCATGCCCCTTGGCGATCACATGACAAAGGGCTTGCACATCACATCTGATAAACATTTTTCTTATTTATTTTTAATTTTTTATTATTTTGAGTTTATAATTAAAAGTAACTTTTTCCTGTTAGCTATTCTACTTACATAGTAACTTGAATTTAATAAATAAATATATATTTTTTATTTTAAGTTGTATAATTAGGAGTAATCTTCTTTTAATTTGCCAAGTAATTGAAATATGAAATCTCTTCTTTCGCTTAGACATAAAATTACTATTCAAGCCCTAGTTGGTATGACATCTGATTTATTATTTAGAATGCAACTAGCAGCTCCGGTCACTAAAGTAATTTAGCTGCCTAACCTTTTCAATTTTTAGTAATTAAGGACAAAAGTTTGCAAAAACTTATAATTAAAGACATTGTTGTTTGACGGTAATCTTGATAAGGTAAATAGGTAACTTGGATTTGATAATTTTTTAAAAAATTCGAATAATTTTACTAGTGCCGTTTGGATTGGATTAGATCACGGGCATGGCTCCACTCCTCTAACCCAAAACTTGAAACAATCAAAACTTCAAAAACCCAAGACCCGAAACCTCACATATCCAGACACGTTTGCCTGGTTTAAAAATTATTTATTTATTTATTTATTTTTATCTTAAGTTCTATAATAAAAAATAATTTTTTATTTCTTAATTTATTTTATTTATATATCATATAATTTAAATTTATAATTTTTTATTTTTATTTAAAAAAATTATTACTAAATTATTTAGATAATTAATAAAAATTATTTATAGTACTACTATTTCTGTTCAATTTTATTATTTTATTTTTTAATTTAAAGTCTTTAAATTTAATAATTTATTTTTATTATATTTTTATTTTCAAAAAAATAATTATAACATATATTAGAATAATATAATAAGTATACTTATATAACTTATGATTAATTAAAAATAAAATTTTATTAATTTATTATTGTTTTTTTATTTTATAAAAATATAAATAAATTAAAATTGAATGGATGGAATAAGATTTAAAAGGAAATATGTACTCATTTACTTTTGTTTAAAATTTTTTTTAAAGGAATACAAACTACTTCCACAAGATTATTTTAATTTTTTTTTTCATTCTTCTTTCTTAGGAAAAGTCAAAAGTGCTTAATTTATGATAATAAGAAAATATATATTTTAGCTTCTTGTTTAGTCCTTTTTATTTTCTTATTAAATATACCCTTATTAAAATGTAAACCCTTTGATCCAAAATTAATTCTTTTTTGCACCATAGGCTTTGTTTAATTGAGTTTTAAGTTTTTTTATGTAGGGACTAATACTATATTTAAATTAAATATGATATTTTATTTGTTTAAGTTTTAATTGATTTAATTTTTAATTTGAAACACTTAAATTTATGTTGCGTTTCGAATGGTTATGATTTTCCATTTTACAAATTTTGGAATTTTAAACAAAAAATTTATTTACTTTCATGTGTTTTTGTAATATATTATTGTGATTTATTAAAGAAATAAAAATAAAAATAATTTAAATATTATTAAATAAGTAAATATTTGTAGATATCAGACTTAAAATTTTTATTTTTTAATAGTTTAGATTTTGTTTAATATAGTTATAGTTTTGAGATTTTGGTTTTGATTTTTATAAATTGTGCAACTCTAAACATAAAATTCGTTTAATTTTACATAAATTTGCAATATATTATTATTGATTATTAGAGAAATAAGAACAAAAATAATTTTAATACTATTTTTTAGTATTTGTTTTACATGAAGTTATAATTTCTATTTTTTAGTATTTGCTTTCAATAATAACAAAATTTATAAAAACTAAAAGCTTAAAGTCATAATCATACGAAATGGAATATTAATTGTTTAGTCTTTTTTGTTTTTTTTATAGGATGTCATTTAATGTGTTTATTTTTATTTTACTCTTTTTAATTTAATTACAACATACATTAAATAAGAAAAAGCTTATTTAAGTAGTAGTGGTGGTTAATAAGGGATAAATATAAAATTTTATAAATTAATTATTGTATTTTTATTTTATTAGACAAAAAAACTAAACCTACTAATCCCTTGTCGCAGAATAATAAATGCTTTTTTATATTTTATTCCAAACTATGCTAAATTATAAAATTACAAACCCATTAATTATTGTATTTTTATTTTATTAGACAAAAAAACTAAACCTACTAATCCCTTGTCGCAGAATAATAAATGCTTTTTTATATTTTTTTTTGACTTATTTTATTTTATGTTCAAAGGATTGGGGACAATTTATATAATACCTATATTGTCCTTTAAAAAAATAAAGAGATTTTTTTTTTATGATGTGAGGTATGATTAAAATCAAGAGATATGATAAAATTAAAGTATTTAACAAATATTTATATCCCATAAAGTATGAAAATATGATTATTATTTTTGACACATTCAAAATCCAAAAACATATATTTTTTGATAGGAAAGGGGTAAAATAAAATGAAAGCAGTAAATTTTAATATCTAGTTACTAAATATAAACATAAATAAATCTAAAATCCAATTAAACCCCACAACCCAACTAGACTGGATTTATTTTTTTTAATTTCTTATATATATATTGAAAATAGTACTTATCCGCTTTACTTTT